CAATCCACTCCGGCCCCCTGCGTCTAGACTGGTGGGGAGGGACTCTGGGATTCCAGCGTGCAATGCCCCTCCTTGATCTGTGCAGCCTTGCATGCTGGGATACCTGGCGTCTCTGCAGTGGAGGGGGAGGGAGGTTCCCAATGCTCCCGGCCTGTTGCCCTCTGTTTTGGGCAGCCTGTGGGGTCAGAGAAATGAAGGCCCCAGCGGCCTACGGGGACCAGAGGACGTTGTAGATCTCTGGTGTAGTCTGGGCTTTGGGGCTTGCTGGCTCATCCGCGAGAGATCCTGCCCGAGGGGGCTCCCCGTCCCTGGCAGGATCTTCCCCCTGCGTCCAGCTCAGCGCAGGGAGGAAGTGACCGGGTCTGGGCATTGGTGTGGGAAGGGAGCTCGGAGCTCAGCATCGGGCGGGGGCTGGCCTGAGCTGTGATCTCCGACACCAGCCAGGAAAGGGGGGCGGCTTCCCTACCCCTTAGAGAGACTTTTTGGTCCGAGGCTGGCAGGCCAGCAGCCCGCTCCCCGGCAGTGCCATGACGTGGCTCCGAAGGAAGAATCGTCCCGAACGTGGGCCAGAGTTTTGTTGCTTCTACTTTCCATTCTGCCAGGGGCGCCAGGGGGGGCTGCTCGGGGAGGGTCCCGCGTGCGGAAACTGAGCCATTTTGAGGAGGACTCCCCCCCCCCCCCCGCGACATGCAATGAACATGCATGTCTCCTCTGCATGCTTTCTGGGGAGTGGGAGGGGCCCAGGGATGGTCTTTCTTTACGCGCTTTTAGATACTTCAGTTAGAGCAACTGGTTCGCTCCCTTTTTTTCTTGTCTCCGGGAGCCCCCCTAATGCATCAGGAGTGGGCTAGTTACAGGCACAAGGGGATTGTTTGCGGTTATTTTACCTGGTTTCCCTGGCCCCTGGTTTCTTCTCTGCAGAACTGCCCATCAGTCGTGCTTCTCGCTGCAAGAGAGAACTACAGGGAAACCTACCTCTAGAGACTGACGGGGGAAGTGGGGGGAACGTGGGTCCAATCAGGTATTTTTATTTGCTGGGCCTAACCCTACCATGGATGGGAATTGGCTCCCCTGAACTCATCCCGGGCCCTTCGCCCAACTCCTGCCTGGGCTCCTGGGGGTTTTCTCAGCTTTGACACCTGCCGTTTCTCAGCCTGCTTGAATTGTAGCGAAGCCCGGGGGTGTGAGCCAGTCCCGTGCTGTACAGGACACACAGCCTTGCCACTTCACGCCCCTGGTCTGCTCTGACATAAACCACGTCGGCCGGCTCTGACTTCCTTCCCCCCCCGCGTAATCCACTCCCCTGATCTCCCCACACGGGAAGGTTTAACCGCCGTTTATTTTCGTTGGGGTTTTCAGATCAATGAGACAGACCTTTGCCTGTCTCTCTTGCTTCACCCGGTCATGATGTGTTACTGGGTGCTCAGACCCCTAACCTCTCACTGAGCTTCCCGGGGAGCGTGGGAGCTGGCGGGGGGAGGGGGGG